TGTGTGTGTGTAGTAAAATTCAATGATATCTTCAATATTCAATATTCAATATTATAAATCTATCCAAATATCAATATATATTCTTGCAAAGTTATTTTGCAACAACCTTCTAAATTTGCAGATATAATTTATAAAAATGTTTTTCTTCCAATAAATAAATTTTAAATAAATTAAATCACATGTAACATACATGTACAATTTTCCCCCTTCTCTCGTCTCTTTCTCCCTTTTCATGTTTAACATTTAAATTTTTGAAAGCTTCATAAAAAAAGTCTCTTAAAGCGATACACTCACAGTGGTACGTCGAGAATTATCCAATTTGAAGAATCTCTAGGATATGATTTCGTCGATGCGATGGCACGTCGCACGAGTCGACGAAAAGCATGCGAGGAATCCGAAGATAAACCTAATTGCTTGCGGGTGTACGCGAACGGAATGCAAAGCTAGAGATCGTGCACACGTGACGTCGTCGCCAAGCGCAGCCATGTCAAACCACATCATGCCGATGTGCAAATGTCATACACGTGTCGACGAGATTTCGATCTCTATTCTCGTCTCCGCTGACATGTTACTCGCGGTTCCCGTTTTGCAAAGAGTTAATAAATAGCCGACAGGATTGCCTATTCGCCTTTTCGACCAGATTTGTGACGTGGGTATTCGAGATTGAGTTATTATAACATAAACCCCCTCGATGATTTAGGTATATCTTTCTGAGAATTCGCTTCGAATATATATGCATATAAGTCGGGAAGACTGACGTTCCAGAAATATAGATACCTAAGCGAAAATGAGTCGGCACACAAAACCATCGCGTGAAAATTTATCACGATGGAAACGACGTGTTCGAGATTTTCTTTTTTTTTTTCCCTCCCACTTCACATAGTAATTTACGGGCGCTATCCCGTCGTTGCATCATCGCGAGAGATGAACGGCGGCGTCCGCGGCGTCCGTGAGCGTTCCTCTCGAATTATCGGACGCTTCCCTCTCGGCTCGCAGCACGCCTCGCCTCTCGTTATGGCGCACCATGCGTGCGACAGCGACGTAAAAAGTCGAGGAATTTACTCCCGTTTAAAGTATTCGTGAATTCCTAAACGATGTGGCGTGTACCGTTGCGCATTCCCGCAAAACGTATAGCACTACGCTCGCCGTCTCCCTCCCACCCTTCTACCCACTCTCCTTCTCCATCCACCTCGTTCTCGTCACCTTTTTTTTTTCCTCCTCTCCGTGGGCCTGCTCGTTCCTCGCACCTCGCGCCTCGCACCTCGGCCAAGAGGAGCCCGGCCTGCGCTCGTGAGAACCCTCGTTGAATCACGCATCGCGGCCCCTACGCCCGCGCGCATATTAAGCGCACACCGACACGGGCCTTCACACGGTCGAGCGGGCCCCGCACCCCGTAACAACATTGTAAATGCGCAACACTCGCGGAAACGTACCTGGTAACCGTCGAAGACGAGGCTCGCAGGTTCGTCCGGCGTCCGGCGAGCTAAGAACGTGCGCGCGTGCTCGAGCGTAGAACAAAACTTTTCTGATCGGACAGAAGAGGAAGACGGAATCGTGTCTGAATTGTTCGAAAACCGCGCGAAGGATTCGATCGAGCAGGCTTACGACTGGTGTTTCTTTGACATAAGATGCTATTAGACCACATCTTATTATGTAAATTATTTATTCAAATTCACTAAATTCTAATAATAAAGTTTTACATATATCTAAATATACAATGCACCGCTGCTGAAATGTCATTGGATTGTAAATTCGCTCGTAATTCGAATCGATCTCGCGAAGAATCCTCTGTGAAACTGAGACGGTCTTCTATAAGTAGATTAGAATAAAGGGAAGAGGGAGGACTCTATTTCCGATCAAATATTGAATAAATAAAACGCGATAAAAGTGCACGAGGAGATAGGGGAATATTAGATTCGGATAAGAACTGCCTACATAGAACATTTCTTCAAAGTTGCTTCTGAATAATATATCGTCGACCGGAAAAGTACGCTCGATAGGTATCAACGGTTCTGATATAACATCGCGTAACGAGCAAATTGAATATATCTACAAGTTGAGTACGGTACTTTTGAGAAAGAAAAGAAATAAAATCAAATTCATTATACATTCTAAATATACGTTATATCAAGAATCATAAATAATTATGTACGTTCCAAGATAATGAGTACCTAATAATAAGCCATTATGATAATAATCTGATAATTTTCAGTAATTATAATAACTTACTTTGCACGTAAAAAATCGATCAAGAATTTATCATAGATATCTGTTACCATGAATAATTATATACATTAAAGTAATAAGTATTTAATAAGTTATTTACAACAATTATAATAATAATCTGATAATTTCTGATAATTATAATAACTTAATTTATATGCAGAAAGAGTAGCCAAGAGTATTTATATATTACAGAGATTTATTATCATAATTATATACATAATAAAGATGATGAGTGTTTAATAATAAACTATTTATAACGATTATAAAAATAATCTAATAATTTTTGATAATTATAATAAACTTAATTTGCACATAGAAAAAGCGATGGAAATGAGTAAAAAGTCCATTCTTGATAATAGTGATAATAATAACAAAAATAAAAAGCCTGTAACATATAGGACAACTCTGAAAGAACAGAAGTCGATGTCTTCCGTAAAACACGAAAGTCATTCCTAATAAACTAAGCTGAACCATTACATGCGTCGTACGCCCATCGTGTGTATTACGTTCCTATAAATCAGGCAAATACCCAACCTCACTAGTCGCGACGCTCTAACGCTCGGCTCTATATATCTGTTGCTCTATAATCGTTACATCTGTTACATCGTAATCGTTATCGTTTCAATTATCCACAAACCTGACCGGTCGGGAGAGGAAAAGAGACAGGGGGAGAGGAGAGAGATCACGGCAAAGAGAGAGAGAAAGAGAGAGAGAGAGAGAGAGAGAGAGAGAGAGAGAGAGAGAGAGAGAGAGAGAGAGAGAGAGAGAGAGAGAGAGAGAGAGAGAGAGAGAGAGAGAGAGAGAGAGAGAGAGAGAGAG